GCCGCGCGCTTCTGGGTGCTGAGTGTGATAATCTCTGGATCCTGGCCGTTGTTGGAGTTACACGGCAGTTGGTGGGTGTAACTGTCTTACATCGTAACACCTTTAAAATCAGGAGTTGTCATTGACTTAGTGGCCCATCCTGGTTCGTTGATAACTTGTTTTGTTAGGGTTTTTTGGTTTTTTTTTTTTTTTTTGCCCCTCCTGGTATATGTTTTTTTCTTAACAATAGATTTGAAGGGCTGTGATAAAATACAGACCAGAGCAGTTTGAATGTGAAAACTGCAGCTGAGATGATTCCAAACGGTACTTTATAACTCGGAAAAGTTTCTTTGGGAGTAGATTGTTTGGGAGTAGATTGTTTCACACATTGTGGTTTAAGTAGAATTTTATTATACCCAGCAACACACACATGTGCGCACACACACACACACCCCACAGCACACACACCCACACACCAGCAAGTGCTGTGCTGTTCTTCCTAAAAGAACGTTACCAACATATAGACTCAGCAGGTTCTCTCTGCATCGAAGGGTTCTCCCACAGGCACCTTCTCATGCACAGCTTCCCGTGGAGGGGCATAGAGGCCTGCTCGGTACCTGGTGGGGTACATCCTCCCTCTTCGGTCCCTGCTTGGGAACTGGGGTGCACATTTACCTATCTGTCTGTTAATTTTTTTTGGATTTGGGGCCACGCCTTGGCAATGTTCAGGGCTTATTCCTGGGTCTGTCTGTCCTCTGAGATCCTCTTGGTGATGCTTGGCGGCCTAAGGAGATGCCAGGGATCTAATCCAGGTCAGCCTGCCTCGTGCACAGCAAGCACCTTACCTTGCTGCTCCGGCCCCTAATGTGCACGTTATATGTGGATAGCTGCTGTCTTATTAATTTGTTCGGCATTTAATATACTAGGCTCTTATTAGCATTGTGTGTGTGTGTGTGTGTGTGTGTGTGTGTGTGTGTGTGTGTTGTTCTGTTTTGAGGCTGCATCCACTTCTGCTTAGGGCTTAACTTCTGATGGGCCCAAGAGACCATATGGGATGCCAGGAATACAAGTCTGGCCACTTACCATAAGTTGCTGGAGATCAAACCCAGGTCAGCTGCTTGCACGGCAGACACCGTACTGTCTTTTGACTTTAAAAAAAATAAAGCTTAATTAGAGCATTTTCTAGGCTAGTCCATGTAGATTTGTCTGACATTTCTTAGTGACTGTTAATAGTTTTCATCATATAAATTATCCCAGTTTTCTCATTTTCTCCATGAAGAGCTGGGCTCCATGAAGAGTAGGCCAGTGTTCTTAGTTGGGGTGCATGTGGAACCCCGGTCTTCTGTTCCCGTCGTTCACATGTTTTGTCCCAGTCGCCCTGTGCTTCTGTGTGCAGATTTAATAGCTGACTACTGGAGTCACTTTGGATTCATTTTGCCGGACAATTCCACTTGGAAGCAGGATTCTTCCTTCCATCACGCCATCTCATTGCTGTTTGCATGTCTTGCAAGGGGTGCTAGCTGCATTCCTTTTTCCTCTCTCGGGAGTGTGCCTTTGTCGGGAAAGGATGCTGCTTGGAATCTGTGTTGGTCCAGAAGTAGTTGCTTAATAAAAATGTATAATTCCCTGCCATGTGCCAACTGTGACCTGTCCGTTCTGGGATAATCCCTTTGAGTGACTCTAGGCAGCATATGCCTCCTGAAGGGACCCTGCTCGGGACTGTATTTTGCACTGAGCGCCCCAACCCTGGGGCAAGGCCCTGCCCTCCCTTCTGGCTTCCCCCCTGGCCTCCCCCCTGGCTCCGCTGCTCAGTTCTTGCTCCTGTCATTCCCTCAGTGGTCCTGAGCCCCCCCACCCCCCGTGCAGAAGAACCCAGGAACCCAGGCCTTTGCCTGCTGGCCTCCGCCCAGCTTGCAGGCGTGTGCTCTCCCGGCCCGCATTCCAGCACACACGGTTGGTGCCTCTGCTCAGGAATCCGCACGTACAGAGCCTGGGGATGGGTAGTTGGCTTTCTGTGTGCTGGACTGGAGGTGTGACCAAGGGCACCTGAAGGTTAGGGGCTTGAAAACAAGAGCATTAGGCAGCATTAATTTAAATGGAAATTTGAAGGCTGAAGACTTTTAAAGTGGGGAATTGAGAAAAGCAGGGGGCAGGGGTGTTAGTACCGGAAAATGTTCCTCCAGGCGACTCATGGATGTTTGGGTGGAATCACTGTGTCCTTGTAGAAGGTGTTTTCCTGCTGTGCCCCTTTTTATCCCTCTGGTTTCTGGAATGAACCAGTGAGAGACCTGCTCTTTTGGCTCTCCCGCTTCCGGATACCTCTGTTCCCAAGAGAACTCTCTGGGAGAACAGTCCTCGAATCAGGTTACTGAGAACACTCGGGCTTAGTAGAGAGGATGTAGAGGATGAGCCGGTGAGGGTTCTGTTTGAAGAGAGAAAGCGTGTGTTCATTGTAGAAAAAGAAGATTTTCCCGGCCAGGTCAGAGTATTTTAGGTTCTGTGTCTGGAGCGTCCTTAACCTGTCTCTGTGCAGTGCAGGATGTAGCTAGTCCCATGGTCATTACGGGGTTTGGCTTATTTTTTATAATTTGCAAATTGTAACAAGGGTTTGTTGCCAAGTCTCAGGCACTGTGTAGAATTCTCCTCTTCTCTTCAGTGCCGTGAGGTAAGCACGATTTTCTCCCTCTTGTTCTTCGTCTCATCGGTACAGACCTATGAGGTGGGCCCCACCACTGCCCGATTTGTTCCAGTCACAGCTGGTGAGACTGAGGCTGACAGTTCCCTCAGATCACTCGGTGAGGGGTAGCTGGGATGCTCACTGCACTGTTGTGGGTGGCAGTCCTTGGAAAGGTGCCACAGCGGGCCCTGGTGGGCACTGTGGCACTAGAGGATGGGCTCAAACCACAGTTCCATGCTTCCAGTCGGAAGGACCGTGGGAAAGTTCCTCTCTCTGTGTTCTGGTCTTAACCCTATCTCTGAGGGTTAATACAGGTTAATACAGGAAATCAAGAATTAGTGTAGCTTTTACTGCTATGATGAACTGGTGGTTTTGAGTAATTCTGTATTTCAGATAGGACTGCTTTTGGCTGTAACAGAAAACGTCGGTTCCAGGGCCTCAGATGAGGGTTTTTTCTCCTCACCTGATAAATCTGTCGATGTGGGGAGGTCAGTGCTTCTGCTGTGTCATTGTCCACCTCAGCACTCCCACGTTCCTAAGGGTCACAGGATGGCTGCTGCAGCGCCACACGTCACATCACCATCCCGGAGGAAGCTGGAAGGCTGTGCTGGGCCGGCTTCTCTCTCTTTATCAGGAAAAGCAGGCGCCGTCCCCAGGTGCACTTCTCATCTCGTGCTTTCAGCTCCTTTGCCAGAACTAGGGCACACGCCCTCGTGGCTGCAGCGGGAACAGGGAGAATGCTCGGGACTGTGAGGTCAGCGCAGGGGCAGTCGGCAAAACTTCAGATTTGATACCGCCTGGAGTTGCTTGATGTCTGCGACAGTGGTCACAACGCCTTGGAAACCATCCAGCATGGATGGCAGGAAAGGGCCTTCCCCAAACCAGCACAGCATTGGGTGTCTCTGCCTGGGTGCCAGGCAGAAACGCGGCAGGCAGGGGGTGGGCCAGCCAGCAGCACCTGCCAGGGACAGGTCAGTGGCTCAGAGCAGCTGAAACAGGAGTGGGTCTCTCGGGGCCCTATGGGAGCCCTCCCTGCCTGGGGGACCCCGAGCTTTCCCCGGACTCCACAGCCAGGGTGGCAGAAGGCGCACCTGGAGCCCAGCTCTCCTGACTGTTGTGTGACTGCCGTGTCCGTCCCCCAAGTACCTGGCAGCAGGACCCACCTCTGCCCCCACCCTGTCCCACCCCTTTCCCCCACCCCATCCCCTCCTGCCCCTCCACGTCCCCTTTCTGCCCCCCTGCCCCAGCGCATCCCTGCACACGAGCCCCTTGGCAACAGTGGGCATGCCAGGACAGCATCCCGGAAGCTGATGCGAAGTAGCCTTGTGTATCGGAAGGGAGGCTCCCGCATCATGCAGTGCTGCTCACCTTGGGGGACCGTGTCCGGGCCCGACCCTCATGCTCTCTCCAGCCCTTAAACTTCTTGGTGTTCGATTGTTGAGAATATAGCACCGTGACTGGCGGTGGGGAGGGTGCTGGTGCCACGCTGAGCAGAGCTGTGGGGACCATGCGCAGAAGTCACTGCTGGTTCCTAAGGGACCATGTGTTGTCAGATGCGCCCAGGCCTCCAGTATGTAGAGCGTGTGCTGGGCCCTCGGGGTCCTGCCCTGCCTAGCACAGTTTTCACTTTTGTTTTAATGCTTAAAGAATTTGATCTCTTCTGTCTTATAATTCAGCACTGTGCATTCGAAATCTGAAGTCATAACTAATGTACCTAAATAACTCTGCCTTTTTGGTCTTATCTGCATGTGGGAAAGCCCGTTAGTCTGTCCAGTCTTGTTAAACTTTTCCATGTTTGCGTCTGACTCTCCCCATCAGATATTGAGCCCTCTGGGGCCTGACTCTGGGCAACTCTGCCTGTCATTCTTGAGCCGACAGTCGTATGTGGCCGGCATGCAGGGGTGGCTGTGGCGACGAGGAGATTCTTCAGCCCCTGGCTTGGGCGTGTCTGCAGGCAGCCCTGCGGCCAGTGGACGTGATGGACAGTGATTGGAAACCCACATGGAAAAATGATGTCCTCACTGGTGTGGGAACGTGGAGAGGGAAGGTGGGGAGGGGGCTTGAGACTGAGGCTGGTGCTAGAGAAGATGGAAGTTTCCAGAGGGTGGAGGATGGCCAGCCCCCCCGAGGTTTTCGAGTTACCTGGGTCCTGTGCCTGCTCCCTGCCCAGATGTTCATAGCAAAGATTGCCATGTTCTTGAATTCTGGAAAAACCCTTGTTGTGAGGCTGCCTGCCTGGAGAATAGATTCCCACAGCTTTGTGCAAAGGGCAGGGGGTCTGTGCTCTTGTGCCCTGCATGCCTGCATGCTGTTCTTCACCAGTTTCAACTGTGTGTTTCTGCAGCCCAGTTACATCAGCGATGCGGGGCCCCCTGGCCGCAGCTCTCTGGATAGCATCGAGATGGCCTACGCCCGTCAGGTAAGTGTGACAGCAGAGACCTGGCTCGAGGAACATCCCTGGGGAGCCCTCCGAGGAGCGACGAAGACTCGGGGTGAAAGTCAAACCTGGGAAACCAGTCAAGTTTTCTTTCAGAAGCCTAGTTAATAGTTCACTGGAAGATTCTAGCACCCTGCTCATAGAATGGTTTAGAGTTGATGTAGGGGAAATGAAGTCTGCCCTGTATGCTGACCCAGGCATTTTGTTTTGCATTTGGCAGCAGCCCATGTACAGTAAAGCCTTGAGTAACTGCATGGCTTAGTGAAGGGGTTCTCTATTAACTGAATTACCTGGGGCAGGTCATTTTTAGCAGAATTCCGACTTTGCCCTCTGTTGTTGAGAGAAATTTTCTAAATAGTTTCCTGCCCTTGGCCTATGCACTGAGCACGGTTCAACATTGTTGTCCAGGAGAAGCTCTGACCTTTGGGCGCCGTGCTTCGAGCTCTGTGCTACAAGCATGCGGAAGAGTGGGTGTGAGCCCACATGCATCTGAGGCAGGGGGAGGCCGTTGGACAGGACTGGCCCAGAGAATGGTGCTTGCCCAGAGTCGACTCTGAGTAAAGCAGTACAGGCTCCCTGTGTGTTTCATTCTTGTGTGCTGCTTCCAGAACCCCACAGGAACCCGAAAGTAGTAAGAAGGGAAAACAGTGTGGGTTCTTTGTTTTGCTTGGCTTTGGGGGCCACACCCAGCAGTGCTCAAGACATACTCCTGGCTCTGTGCTCAGGGAACCATACAGGTGCTGGGGATTGAGCCTGGGTTGGCTGCATGCAAGGCAAGCACTTTATCCACTAGTCTTCTCTCCGATCTCCTTCTCTTTGGCGGGGAGGGGGAGTTCTTGACTTGAGGATCAGCAGGGTTCTGCCCTCTGGACCGTCCTGCACCAGCACTGGCCAAGGACCTCTGCTCGATGTGACTGGCTGCCCGGATTCCCTTAGGGGAGCACAGTGTTCCCACAGGCTGCCTTCCCTGCAGCCCTGAGCGGGGCTCAGACATGTGCGTCTGTGGCCGTGAGCGGGGCCTCTGGGCACCATTAGACCCTCACCCTTCCACTTACTTAGCAAATGGAGCGTGGTGCTGAGCTTCCTGGGAAGCTGAAGGCATCGTCAGAAATCCCTCTTGGGACCTGGGGGAGCTTTCATGAGACCTTTGGGGGATGGAGGCTGAGGGGCACGTCCAGGGGTGCTCAGGGCTCTGTGCTCAGGACTCCTGCTGGGACCTGGGGGACCCTAGGCAGTGCTAGGGATTGAAGCGGGCTTGGCTAGAAAAGTGCCCTCCCCGCTGTGCTGTCCGTGCGGCCCCTGGTTTAAAGCATCACGGGCACTGCGGACCCCGCCTCCCCGCTCCCACAGGCTTATAGCCAGGCTCTCACCTGAACTTTCCTTCTTTTAGATAGCCCCCTCCCTCCCTCCCTCCCTCCCTCCCTCCCTCCCTCTACTGCGTTCACACCCTTTGTGTTTTATCTTCGTTTTGTTACTCCATTCCATCCACTGCTACAAGCGATAAGCTTCTAAGGATAAAAATTATCTGTGGTCTATGACAATTGTAGAGGCTCATGAAAAGAGTGTTTTCTATACTCAGGACACTACCAAGCCCTGTGTCTGTCTGTTTGTCTGACTGTCCCCTTCAGTGGACAGTGTGTCTCCTTAGCCCATGTTGATCACGGTGCCTCTCAAAGGGAGGCCCCTCAGAGAGCCCTAAGGTGTGTGCATGGGCACCGCCTCATATTCACAAACCTTCTGTTGTACCTCCCCAGCCCTTGACCTCGCTCCTTTTTACAAGGGTGGTATTAAGTAGCCTCCAGGGCTGCTAGAAGATGGAGTGATACAGATCTGTATCAACAGTGGCATTTGGTCACTGTGTTGGGCAGTGCCCCAGGGCTGCTCCCTGCTAGGGGTTCTCGTCCAGCAGTGCTCAGGGGCACCATGCATTGCTGGGGCCTAATGGGACTGTCCTGCGAAGCATACACCCCGTGGTATCTTGACCGACCCCTGAGCACGGCCCCGTGTGGCCCAGAGACCAGATGAGGAAGAGGCCAGGAGGGCTGGCAGGGCTCCTGCTACCCTGACTCCCTGCCTGCCTGGTCTTGGGTAGCGCAAGAGCTGTAGGTACAAGAGTGGAGTTTAGCTCCTTTCTGTCATTTCAGTTCCAAAAGACCATTCCAGTCGCCTTTTGGCATTTTGGCTAAGATCAAGTGTATATATGTTCCTGTCAGTTCCGTACCTGATAACAGCCTCAAAGGACAATCTATACGGTGGATTTCTGGATCAGGGATTAGAATGCCTTGCTCTGCTCTGGTCTGTCCCACAGGTCAGCCTGATAATGCAGTTACCCCTGGGGAATAAAGCAGGGGTTTGGGGCTGGGATCTGACTCAGTGGCAGAACCACAGCCTTGTGTGTGTGAGGCCCCGGGCCCCATCCCTGGCCCTGCAGGTAAATAAATCAGGTCCAGGGTAACCATGGGGTTGTTGTTGATTTAAAATACTTGAACTGTCTCATAGGTTCTTTTTCTTAGAACAGTGTTCTATTCCCCCCGAAGAACAGAAACATCACTGTTTCTGTTGGGGAGGAATGGGTTCTCCCATCATGCAGCCACGACTGTTCTAGCGCTTATGAGAACCTGGGTTCCTGGGAAGTGCAGGGGGGCCGTCCCGTGCACCCTCTCCCCGCCCGGTCCTCTGGACAGAGGCTGTATCACGTGGGCCAGTGCTGCTGCCCGAGCACAAGTGCAGGAGCGAGGCTGGCCAGGGTCTGAGCCATGGGGGCCGGTCAGTGAGCTCGCTGGCCTCAGAACCTGCCGCAGGGGCACAGGCAGAGATGGGACGTTGACGCTGCTTTTCCTCACTTCAGATCTACATCTATAACGAGAAGATCGTCAGCGGGCACCTGCAGCCCAGCCTCGTGGACCTTTGTGCTTCGGTGGCTGAGCTGGATGATAAGGTAGGGTCTGCACCCCGGGCAGAGACCCAGGGCCGGTGCCGGGGGGGTGGGGCTGCCCACTGACTGTGGGCCGTGCTGAAGATGTCCCGGTCTGTCTGTGGGATAGAGTGCCGCAGTCTGGGCCCGCATGGGTTTGGTTGATGAGGGTGTGCGTGTGTGTACACATGAACAGCTCCATGCGTCTTCAGAACACCGGGCCAGCACTGCCCAAGGGTTCTCCTCCATGTCCGCCAGGCCCCAGGTTCCCCCAGTTTGCCTCCTTCGGCAAGCTCTGTAATTGGAGCTAATTGGAAATGCTCTGCTTCCATCCTACCAGCAATTCTTATTTCTCTCCAAAACCGGAGGCCAGGAGTGAGATCTCCGTGCCTGTCTATAGTTGAGTCTGTTGGAGGAACCCCAGGTGTATCACCTACGCTGCAGGCCGCCATGTAGCCTCTGAAGCACCCACCCTTGGAGCCACGGCCCCCTCCTCACCTCTGCCTGCCTGCCCTGGTGGAGTGAGGGGTGATGGGTTGCCAAGCTTCTGTGGATGTCTGAAGAATATTTTTGCAGTCTTACGCTCAGGCTGGACCTGAGTCTGTATTGTTTGCAGACGTTGGCAAATAGTGGTTGATTTGGCTTACTTTTAAATTATCTTGTTTGGGCTTGATCATTATATGATAAAACTTTAATAATAGAGTATGACATGCTAAATCGCTACAAAATTTGCTGTAAGGAGGGTGTAAGCATTTTGTTAATATGCTATGTTTACAAATACAAAAAAAAAAAAACTGTGAAGAAGATGTGATTTTCACCCCCGAGGCCTTTGAACTTGAGTTATTCTGTGGAGGAGGCGGGGGTCTCCCAAGCAGTGTTCAGGAGACCTCGGGGCACTTGGCGCTTCCAGAATGGCAGATGTGTGCCAGGGCCCAGGGATGTGGTGCTGCATGGTCCCTGCAGTGCCAGATCCCACCACCCCAAAAATCACATCTCAGGGGCCCTAGGCCACAACCAGCTGTACTCCGAGGACCAAGGGCAGCTCCCAGCCACGAGGACCAAGGGCAGCTCCCAGCCACAGGCCCAAGTCCTGTGCAGTCCTTCTGGCCCCTCCAAAGTGGGGCCTTCACGGACCACCTTTGTATATACAATAGTTCCATCCCTCTCTGGCCCCCTCCGCTCTTTTTCCCTGGCCAGTTTCTTCCCAAGGGGAGGGAGGAGATAATAGGCTGAAGTGTGTGTGGGGGGGGGGGAGGGGGTGCCAGGAGAGGTGGCCCAGCACCAGCTTTCAGGCACACTTCCTGTGGGTCTCCCCTACATGTAGCCAACTTGAATATTTCAGAATACTCAAACACGAGGCCAGGCATAGGCTCCAAGTGGAAAAATTGCTTTGGTCGGGACTGTTCTAAGAATCCTGAGCTTTCAGGGCACAGGGTTTTGAGGAGAGGCTGCAGCCAGGTGGGTTCTGGAGAAAGGGAACCCCGGCCATGTTGAGGTGCCCAGGGAGGATGCCTGCTCCTGCCTGAGGGTCGGTGGGCAGGTGCCCTTTGAAGGGCGCAAGTGGGGAGGAGAATGGGCGGCTCAGAAGCCCGCAGACTGGGCAAGACCAGTGGCCTCTGCAGAGCCCCTGGGAGCACAGGACCCACGGTGCTTAGGTTAGACTCTTCTTTAAGCCTCAAGAACTCCAGTGAGCTTGCAGGGTCCGAAAAGGAGCTCCCTGACTGTGAACTCCTGAGACTTTGGGGATCACAAACCTGTTTGTGCCCTAAGGGCCAGCCCACCGACTTCAGCATTCTTTTTCCTTCTGTGTGGGCGTAGCTCTGCCAGTGGTCACATCAGGCCTCAAACAGTACTCCTTCCGAAAACCAACTCCGAACGGGATGCCCCTTGCCATGGAGAACCCCGGCAGCTGGCGGCCCTGGGGTGTCGGTCCACCTCCCCAGAGGACCCTGCACTCTGCCCCTCCCCCTGCCTCCTACGTCTTCCAGACTCCCGTCCCAGCCTTGCCCTGTGGTCATGTGCGTCTCCCTTGCCCGCAGAACATCTCTGACATGTGGACCATGGTCAAGCAGATGACAGACATCCTGCTCACCCCGGCAACGGACGCCGTTAAGAGCCGCAGCAGCGTGGAGGTGCGCATGGACTTCGTCCGGCAGGCCCTGGGCTACCTGGAGCAGAGGTGAGGCGCTGCTGCTGCCGAGTGATGCTGGGTCCCTGGGACCATGTGATGCGGGGCAAGGCCGAGAGGTGACCGTTTCCAGAGACTTGTCACTTTCAGGGCGGTGCCTGCACTGAGCATCATAGTCCATGGGGGCAGCAGTCAACTAGCTCTCTTTATTTCCAGCCGTCTCTTCCTGTGAGGCCATGTCACCTTAGGGTCCCCACCCTTAGTTGCTTGGATTGGATCCCATCCCCTCACGGGGCTTGGATTCTCTCTGTGTCTTGAGTTTTTTACTCGGCGGTATCAGCACCATGGAGCTTTGGGCAGGTCCCTTCAACCTGGGTGTTTTTTCTCTCCTCTGCTCACCTGATCCTGTGAGTTCAGATCCTGCCCAGCCACCGGTGCCTGAGAGTTGGTCCTGTGTTTCTTGGCCGCCACCTCACTGTGGGGAGTGGGTCCCTCGTGGGCTCACACCTGAGTCCCTCCCCACTGGTCCGTCATCAGGAGGGCCCGTTCCAGGCTGCTCCTTTTAGCTCTCATGGAGCTTCTATTTCAGAATATTCAGAATATTTCAGAAGCTCTCACTAGAGCTTCTATTTCAGAGCCAGGGTGCCGGGTCTCTCCCTGCGGGCTGGGTCGAGAGTTCCGAGTGGACGCACTGGGCAGATTGGAGCCCTTTGCCCCCGCGCCTCTGCAGCTGCCAGCGGGCTTCCCGCCTGGTTGCCTTTACCAGCAAAGTCATACTTCGTCCAAGGCCTCGGGCCCCGCCTGTCGCTGCCTGGGTTGAGCAGAGAGCAGACCTCCCTGCCACGGGATGTGTTCATTATGCACAGTAGCTGCTTGAGCACCATCAGCCCAGATTAAACTTGCTCATCTCCATTTCCTTGTTAAGAATAATTTGGAGTCCGGGTGGCTCTTTCATTTCAGGCATAAGCACAAGAGAGGTTCATCGGGCTTCGGCTGAGGTTTTGTAATGTAAGTTTGGGGTCTATTGATCATTAGCCATGAAGAGCCAAATGCGTGTATAAATGGGCTTATTCCTTAGCATTGTTGCTTTACCAGTTTACCAGGCTGTACTCATTGGTTTTGTATCTGCTAAGGCACCTCTTACTGTTATTTTTATTCCATTTTTCAGAAAATTTTCCATTTCTGCAGCAGCACTCAACTATTGGGGAGTTTCCTGTTCACAATACTATAACCTTATTTATAAGATGCTATTATATTATTTTTATATACATAAAATATTTTAGCTGTAAAAAATAGTCAAGTAGACTCAGTCCCAAATGATTTTTTTTTTTTGTATAAGGCTGAAAATGAACGCTTGACCTAAGGGCCCCCGTCACTCCAGATTAGAGGCAGGATGCGTATTCCTGAGCCGGGAGTGAGTTAGGTAACTGCTTCTGTGTGGGACCTTGCCAGCACCCTGATGTTAGTTACAAGACCACTCGAGGCACAGCATCCGCTGTCCTGGCTGCTGCAACATGCAGATCTCTTTCCAGCCTCTGTTTCCAGGCACTGCCAGGGAAGGAGATCTTAGTAATTTGTCTGTATCAGCTTTGTTTGTTTGGGGTACTGAGGTGGGAGTTCACTGGGGCTCAGACGCAGGCCCTCATCCATGCTAAGCAGGGCTTGTACCCCTGAGCTCCTTCCCGAATCTTTGTCAGTATTTTTCTGTGTTTGTGGCACATTCCAGTGATTGGTATTTGGGGGTTTTCTTCTCTGTGCTTCCTCGAGTATGGGACATCTCTGTGCGTGTGATGTGCCTGGCTTTTATAAGCGCTTTCGCCCTTTTCTGACCAAGATGCACAATTAGAAATTTCTTTTATTAACCCCACATTTGGATATGAGTGAATTCATTTAACTTTAGTGTAGAAATATTTTTTAAACCACCATAGAGGCCTTTAAGAAGCATGCTAGAAGCATAGAGGAAATGAAAAATTAATTTGCAATCCCCGTGTGCTTGTGATTCAGCGAGTAATCACTAGAAACTGAAACCGTGGTGTAATGGAGAGCTAGGGAACAGAACTGTCACCTGACCGCCAGGTTTTATCCTGATTACAAAGTAATCTCTGTTATGGTGGTGAGACTCCAGGGCAGCAAGTGACCAAACGTGGTGGGGGGAAATGGGCTTGTCATGAAGAGTGCCCAGGAATGGAGCTTTGCATCATATCCCAAAAGGCATAGCCCCAACCACCAGGACCCTGGATGTTAAAAAAAAAAAACCTCTGCAATCAAAAGCCCTGAAGTCTGAAAGCCTGAAAATCAAAATCCCAAAAGTATATCTCGGGGGGTGGGGGGGTAGAAACAGTAAAATAAGAAATGTTTAAGACAATTGTCTACATGACAGAACATCTCATAGGGCACTCTAGGTCAGGACACCTATGCGCAGAAGTGCTCTCGTGGTGCAGATACACAGCCGGACACTTCCGTCTCCGAAGGCGGGGTGAGCACTCCTGCCCACATGGACGCACTTGCTCCCAAAGGCAGCCACGTCCTCTTTGCAACCAGTTTTACAGCACCAGCAGCAGAAATCTGTGAAATGAATTTGAACTCCCTGAAAAGTCTTTACATAATTTGCAGCTCCAGACTTGGAAATGCTGTGACGATGGAATAGACAACACAAATAGTGAACCATTAAAAAAAAAAAGTGCTGACAAATTTAAGATCCTGACAACACAAAAGAAAACCACAGGAAAAAACGCAACTGTTCCTCCATGGCAAAGTGTTCCTTATTCTAGCGACAAGTCTGGGCTGCTACACAGATGTGGCCCCAAAGCTGGCCAGCGTCCATGGCCCTGAACTCGATGTTCAAGTCCTCCGTCGTGGAGAGCAGCTGCTCTCTTTTCTCAAAAAGACCCCTGGGCCTGGCTCTCCTGGAGACGCTGACACTCGTCTCCCACTTGGCACTGCATCCCTGCGTGGTGCGCTGTGCCCTGGCACGAGCAGTCCCTGTTGCAGGCTGCCATCTCCCATGCCGTGCGTCTCCATGGTGTAGGCACGTGAGCACCCTCTTCTGCACGCTCTCACAGGCAGACGACACACCTGGCAAAGCCATGGTGGTGATGGAGCCGCAGCACTGCTGTGAGCCTGCCATCTTGTCCTCCTGTGCATGTCGTTCTCTGCAGACCAGTTGGTGACTTCGCTGGCTCCTGTTGGCAAACGTGGCGTTAGTTCATTAAGAACTCCTGGAATCTCCTCAGCTGAAGGAGTGTGCACGCAGGCAGATGCTCCGAGTTCTTGGCTGGCACTTTCCTCCTTGCTGTGCCGCATGGCTGGCCCGTTGGTTTGAATTCCCCACCCTGTGCCTTGGACTACCCGGCAAAAGCCAGACTCTCTTGAGAATCCCAAGAAGTTCCCTCGTAGGGGCCTTGATCGCACCTAATGCCAAATCTGCCATTATTGGGGCTTCCAGTTGAACTCGTCTTCTTAGCGAAGTTCACCAACTCTTCAGAGAAGCATTTACCTTTGTAAAAGTGCTCCCTTTTCCCAGCTATCAACCCATTGATAAGAGCAGCTGCAGTGTAGAATTTTTCGATCCAACGGGAATATGAGTTGTGTGTAGATGATTTAAAACAAAGCAGTAGGCACAGTTTTGAACATGCTACAATCCATGACTTAAAGTGAAGCCGGTCCCAGGTTTTCTCTCTCAATTAGTGGCGAATGTGTAAGTCTCTTCAGGAAAGCCAAACCCTGGCCCAGAGAAAGTCACCACTTATTGTGTTTCTGCAACACGAGGGGACCCTCTGCCTCAGCACGTGTCTGTGGTTCTTAAGTCCCCGTTTCAAAAGGTAAACCAGCAGATTCTAAAGAATTATTTTTTTTCTTTGTCAGAATTATTTTTAGGATTTTGATCTTTCAGGATTGAGTCTTTGAGATGGTGATTGGCACTGGGGGTGGGGGAACAGAGAGTATCAGCCCGTTCTTTGACTGGAGGAGCACCTAGCAGCGTCAGATGATCCTTGGGGATCTTGAGTTGAACCCGACGGCTGTGTATATGGCTCATGTTTGAGCTCATGCTTTACACACCCGGGGTCCAAGCTGCAATCTCCAGCCCCCACCAAATTTGAACCTCATCCAGATCATGAGGAAAAACCATCCATTTGCAGAACATTCTGCGGCTGATCTGGAGTCTATTCAAAAGGTCACTGTCTGGAATTACTCTGGATTAGAACAGCTAAACAGCATTTCCTTGACTGCATCTGGGTTTTATTTTATTTTGTTGGTTCTGGGGCCACACCCAGCTGGGCTTGGGGATTCCTCCTAACTCTGTGTTCAGTTGTCACTCCTGGCAGTACTCAAGGGACCGTTTGAGTGCTGGGGATTGAACTGAGGTCAGCTGCAATGCAGGGCAAGCACCCTACCCTCTGTACTTGCCCAGGGAGCCTGGATTTTAAAACACACAGAGTATAAAGGATAATTACTTCAGAAATTGAGTCTTGGTTTATTTTTAGATAACAGTATATTAGTGTTAAATTTCTTGGTGTCATAATTGAAAGTTAGGTAGAAGAATTTTTAAGTTCTAAGGAGATACGTGGTCAAGTATTTACAGAGAGGGTAGTCCCTGATTTCTTTATTTCTGTAGCACATTTTAAAATAGTGAGAAAAGGACTGGAGAGATAGTACAACAGGTAAGGTGCTTGCTTTGCACGCTGCCAGCCTTGGTCCAATCACCAGCACCAGATATGGTTCCCCGAACACTGCCAGGACTGATCCCTGAGCACCGCTGGGTGTGGCCCCTAAACAAAAGAAACCAAAATGGTTTGAGGGGTGGGGGTGAAGGATGTGAGCACGTGTACCGAAGTATGTGTTGAGTGCACATATATATATACATGCATATGTATATATTCACACATCTGTGTGTTTCCTTACATATATGGAGCAGAGAAATTTCACATAATGTTAACTGGTGAATCTAACTGCAGGGTTTGTGAGTATTCATTGAACTGTTCTTTTAATTTTTGTAAGTTCATATTTTTTTTCCAAAAATAAAAAATTTCAAAGGAACCCACTGCAGCATTGGACTGAGATCCAGAGCAATTGTTCTTTCTCACACTAAGCCCTGAGTGCTTGTGAAGTCTGCAGTTATGGTGCTCCGGGGATTCTTTTGAGTTTCTGCAAGGATGGGAAGGAGAAATCCTCGCTGTGGTTCGGGGCCCCCTGAATGAATGATGCAGTTTGCTCCCTTCAGCCTGCTGGTTTCCTCTTCTCAGGCAGATTTCAGTCCGGGTCCTGCTGCGGAGTTCAGCGTCTCCTAGACACTGCGGACCTGTATGTTCACCCTTCCTCACTTGTCCTGTTTGATCTTTCTAGTTACAAGAACTACACCCTCGTGACCGTCTTCGGTAATTTGCATCAGGCGCAGCTGGGTGGCGTACCTGGCACCTACCAGTTGGTTCGAAGTTTTCTGAACATCAAGCTTCCCGCTCCCTTGCCCGGACTTCAGGTACTGTCTGCATGCTCTGTGTCATGCCTCGTCAGACCAGTCTCTTTGGTAGATGTTTTTTCATTAAAATGAAGTTATGTGTAAAAAAATTGCCATACTGGGGCCAGCCAGCACGATAGTACAGGAGGGAGGGCATTTCCCTTGCATGCAGCGAGCCCGGGTTCCATCTCTGGCATCCCATGTGTTCCCCCGAGCACCACCAGGAGTAAATCCTGAGCACAGAGCCAGGAATAACCCCTGAGCATCACCTGTGGGTGTGGCCCCAAAACAAAATAACAACAAAAAAAAAACCTGCTATGTGGAGAGGAGACTGGGAAGGGGGTCAAGGAGAGAAAGTGGGGGGAGCCCAGGTGAAAGATGGGTTTGTTTGGTGCAGGATGGGGGTGGAGGCAGGACGGATGACACCCCCAGGGCCTGGGCATGTTTTGAGAACAGTGTGGATAGGGTTGTGAGCAGTGTCTCCAACATCCGGAAGAGCGGAGTTGGGGGTGGTCCCAGGATAGGGCCTGGCCCTTCCTCAGCTCACTGCCGCTTGGGATTCTTGTTCACATGCCATGCACAAAGCGCCCCCCTGGAACTTTGCAGAGGGCGCTGCTGTGGGCCCCCACAGTGGAGGCCCAGAGAACGATTGGCGCCCACTGTGTGGGAGGAGGGAGTGGCATGCAGGCGAAAGGGCTGCCTGGCATGTCAGTTGTGGCCAACCGAGCACCGTGGCTGCAAGTAGCAGGAAAGTGGCATGATCACATCTGGGCTTCAGGAAAGGTACCCAGGGAAAGGTGGAAGGTAAACAGGATGTCGTTAGAGGTGGCTTCTCTCAAGAAGATGGGTGGGGAATGATCAAGGCCCTTTGTACAGACCGAGGTCAGGGCCCAGTTGGGGATGCGTGAGCTCTGGAGAGTCAGAACGGCTGCCTCCCCCATTCCCAGTGCCCAGCAGCGCCTGAAACAGACTCTGAGTAAGGGGTTGAGTGGTGGGAACGCTGTGTCCGTTTGCTAAGCAGCACACGCACGGGTTGACCATGGTGGCCCCTTGCTGGCCAGGCACCTCTCGCCCTTTCTTCAGGGCGGGCGGCAGGAGTGCCCCTCTGAGCATCACTGGGATTCTCTGAAGAAACGAAACACAGGCTGGCGGCACTTATGTGGAGAGACTCGAGAGCCAGGCCACCAGCTCATAGGAACACATTGCGTGTCCCCTGGACCCCCTCTTGCTTTTGAACAGAGAGGAGGGGGCCTGCTCCTCCCACCTGATGGCCACTGCAGTGACCAACTTAGCCCAGGAGCCAGCTGAGCTGCGGGGCGGCACCGCTGAGAGCCGTGTCTTGGCGCTGTTGCTCACTCCTGACCCGCGCTGTTCTCCTCCCGCAGGACGGGGAGGTGGAAGGCCACCCCGTGTGGGCGCTGATCTACTACTGCATGCGCTGCGGAGACCTGCTGGCCGCCTCTCAGGTGGTCAACCGAGCCCAGCACCAGCTGGGCGAGTTCAAAACCTGGTTCCAGGAGTACATGAACAGCAAGGACCGCAGGTACCGTGACCAGAAGCCACGAGGCCCTCGGGGGCGGTGTTTGCGCCCCTCCCCTGCGTGGCTCAAAATCAGGAAAGCAGGACGCGTGGGAAGCTGGTCGGAGCAGGGCGACAGCCAGCCGCCGAGCAGGTCCTGAGAGAGCCGCCTCTGTCTGGCACGTCTGAGTCTGGGGTCTTTTGTGTCCAGTCCAGGAGGAGCTGTGGCCAGAAGCATGGAGTCACGTACCCTGTGTACCTGAGCTCATTCAGGCACTGCAGAAAACTAGGCTGTGCTGTGTTCTCACAGAAGCCTCCTGAGCAGTCAGGCGCAGGCTCCCGAGAGACCCGGGGGAGAGCCAACCTCTGGGCACTCACGCGTACTCACCTGGCCAGCGGGAGCCCCAAGTGCAGCTAGGTTAGACACCAAGATATACCGCCTGTGGGAATAGCTTTCTCCTCTCACACACACGGACACACAGCGGGTGCTGACGTGCGGAATGGTTGGCACCCAAAGATGAATACTGCTGCTCTGGGTTCTGCCTAGACATTTGCTGATTGTGCCTGGGGTTCTGGTCCAGTCGTTGGCCTGGCTCCTCTGCTCTGTTCTGACCATAACTGTCCGATTCATTGCCTGTTGGTTCATCCCTGCCCAGTTCCCAGAATGGGCCCCCCGGGTCCTGCGTCTAGTTTCCCACTTCTGCCCCCGAGTGCCCCCACTGCCCCCTTCCTTGCTGACGCCTGGGCTTTGCTTTTTATCCCAGTATGGGACTGTTGAAGTGCGCTTTGTAGCTTAAAGGCTAGAATCAGAAGTTAATGGTCTTGAAACGTGATTATTGAAACCAGTCACTGAGTTGTTGTTTTGGGGTTTTTTTTTTTATAGTTTTCTTGCACGAAGACATGACAAAACATTAGTTTTCCTCTGCATCTTATTAATAAAATTAAACTTAAATTCCTATTTAAACCAGTTCCCATGTGTATGCCTGTAGGAGGAAGGAGTGATGGTGTCCCCACAGCTATCCCTGTGGGCAGCTGGGATACTTTCTGGCAGCCTGGGTGAGCCAGGCCCAGAAGTTGTCTTAGACGAAGCCTCCCTGTTGTTTGTGCCGATAGCAGGAGTGGCTCAGGGCTAGGGTCCCTGTCTCCAGGCTCTGCCTGGAGGCGACCCTGGGGCAAGGGTCTGAGTGCAGGTCATTTATTTGGGACAGGGACAGTGGAGGGAGGCTGATGGGGTGGCGGGAGAGACTCCCTCTCATCTCTGTGTCGGGAGGCTCCTGCGCTGGCTCCTGCCTTAAGAACGAGTGGGGTCGCACCCCACGAGCGCCGTGTCTCTGTGCCTTTCTGTCTTCAGATTGTCCCCAGCTACGGAGAACAAGTTGCGGCTGCATTACCGCCGGGCCCTGCGGAACAACACCGACCCCTACAAACGCGCCGTCTACTGCGTCATCGGCAGATGCGACATCACCGACAACCAGAGCGAGGTGGCCGACAAGACCGAGGACTACCTGTGGCTGAAGGCAGGCGCTGTCCCCTCGTCCCTGCTGGGTGGAACCCCTTCCCTCAGCTCCCGCTGCCCTCTCAGGCTTTACCCAGAGTTGGGGGACGGGGAGCCTGCAGGCACCCCTGTTCCTGCTCTGTTGCTCCCCACGCGTGACCAGAGCTGCTCCCGGGCACTCTGGGTGACCAGCTGGCCCTGACACTGGCGTCTCTCGGGGGATCTAGTTGAACCAGGTGTGCTTCGATGACGACGGTACCAGCTCGCCCCAAGACCGGCTCACGCTCTCGCAGTTCCAGAAGCAACTACTGGAAGACTACGGTGAGCTCCCTGGAACAGCACCATCATGCTCTCTCTTGATCCCCAAGGTCGCTGCTGTCCTTCCCTCTGGGGAGGCCATGCTGGCCCTCTCTCCTTCAGCCTATGGTGGCTCCTCAGAACACAGCCAGGCCAGGGCCCATCTCGAGTCTGGGTAGCGTAGGAAGGATGAGTGTGACCCGGTGGCCGTGACAGTGTACCTCTGCTCAGTTCTGTGGACTCTAGACAGTGCTCAGGGAGGGCCTTGAAGAGGGTTGAGCGTCTCCCAGCAGTGGTTTCCCCAGCAAGCAGGGTGAGGTGCTTTTTCCTATCCTCACCTCCCATCCGATATTGAAAAGTCTGGGGCTGGAGAGATAGGACAACAAATGAGATGCTTGCCTTGCACACGGCTCGATCCCCGACATCCCATGTGAACCCCCTGCATCTTGCCAGGAGTAAGCCCTGAGCACTACCGGTGTGGCCCCCAAAATGAAAGATTACTGGGGAGAAGATTCCAGCTCATGGTTAAAGGCGTCTGAATTCAGGTCTGTGAGTCTGAGAGGACCGGAGCATCTGTTAGGACTGTCCTCCTCAGTGACCGGCCTCAGGATGGAGGACATGAGGCAGCTCTCTCGCTGCATCCTGTTTGAGCATCCTGAACTCTTCCTCTCCTGCCCGATGCCAGCACCCCGGGATTTGTTTTGTTTTGTTTGTTTTTTAAAAAACTTGGGTTTGCCATGTAATCGTTTAATTGCTTGCTTTCCTTCGGAGTTCTAACATAGGGGAAATAAATAGGATCAGTCTTCTGTCAGATCTTCTCCAACACAGAATAGAGATCGTTTCTCCACTTATCTTCCAAGACTGCTCTTACCCTGAAACCAAGCATCTTAGAAAAGATAGTATCGGAAGCAAATATTCCAGAGGGAAGATTCAGGCATACAGTACATACCCGCAGCAGCAAATGAGCAGATCACGCATGGCCAGTGGGGGTTTCTCTCAGGGGTGCCTGTGTGTGTGTCTTAAGGAGGGAGATCGGCCTTAGCTCGGGTCTCACAACTCCACTCACTTGCGTGTTGTGTTGTGAGGCCTGAAGCAGGCCCCGGGAGTGGTGGGGGGCACACGAGGGCCAGAGCACGTCCTGGGGTCCCATCCCCTGGAGCACTGGCCTAGGAGGAGCTCCTGAGCACCCATCACGTGACCCCCAAACCGAAGAACAGATCAGTGCCTGGGCCCGGGTGCATCCCCCGCCCCCGCTGGCTCCTGAGCCGCCCGGCCTCCTGTCTCTGCAGGCGAGTCCCACTTCACGGTGAACCAGCAGCCCTTCCTGTACTTCCAAGTGCTGTTCCTGACAGCGCAGTTCGAGGCGGCCATCGCCTTCCTGTTCCGCACAGAGCGGCTGCGCTGCCACGCCGTGCACGTGGCCCTGGTGCTCTTCGAGCTGAGGCTGCTGCTCAAGTCCTCGGGCCAGAGTGCCCAGCTGCGTGAGTGGGGGCGGGGGGGCCCTGCGCCAGCCAAAACCCGGAGTCCGACTCCAGGCTGCCCTGGGCTCGCTCAGCTTCCCCAGAGAGAGCGGGAATGTGCGTCGGGTTCCAGCGAGGGCGCCAACCGCAGGCCGCCACTGGCACAGCGTCTGTGTGTGTCTGCGTGGGACCAGGGGGATGTGGAGCCAATACCAGGGGCCCCTTCATGCGGCTGGTTCCCCCGGAGCACGTGCTGGGCTGGCTGTCATTTCTGTCCTTCCCGTCAAAGGCCAGCCTGCGAGCGGCCCCTATAGAGCACTGTCATCTGTCCCCGACCGGAGAGGCACTAAGGGTGGGGCGCCCGGGGCTGCCAGGGGGTGCAGGAGCAGAGGCGGGTGGGCTTGGGGGAGCCCACTCCCGGAGCCCCTGCCCTGTGGGTCCGAGGGGCTGCGCGGTTGTGACCGGTCCCGTTGCTGCCATTCAGTCAGCCACGAGCCCGGAGACCCTCCCTGCGTGCGGCGGCTGAACTTCGTGCGGCTCCTGATGCTCTACACCCGCAAGTTCGAGTCCACGGACCCCCGGGAGGCCCTGCAGTACTTCTACTTCCTCAGGTAAGGCCGGCCGGGAGCCCCTCCTGCAGCTCGGCTGGGTTCCTGCCTGCAGAGACAGGGCTCGCTCGAGACCTCGGGACCTGCCCGCGACCAGGCCGCTTCTCTCTCCCTCCAGAGACGAGAAAGACAGTCAGGGAGAAAACATGTTTCTGCGCTGCGTGAGTGAGCTCGTGATAGAAAGCCGAGAGGTAGGTTGTCTTCCTTGTCTCTCTTCCCCCGTGACTTTCAGGGTGTGTGTTCACAGGCCCGTGTGGTGCCCCACGGGTCCCCCCACCAACACACACACACACACACCCCAACACTGTGACAGCTGAGAATCCCCATGGTGTAAGGCCAGGCATTTTCCAACCTGCCTTTGGTGTCCCTTGCCTTTGGCGAGTTTGTGGGATCCTTCTCGGCTCTCCCTGTGGCCTTCTCCTCTGGCCTCCGGAGAATTGCGGCTTCTGTATATATGTCTTGTAAATCTCATGAACTTCTTTGTCTCCACAGTTTGATATGATCCTTGGGAAACTAGAAAACGATGGAAGTAGGAAGGTGAGTGGAACGTGGCCCTTGCTGTGGGGCTTTGCAGTGGGCCGCTGACAGCTGTCAGAAGAATGCGGCTCCAGTTCAGAGTTCATGGTCCTGAAGATACAGATCTGAGTTGCTTAGTTTAAGACACTCAGCTCGAGGGTCCAGGGAGATAGTACAGTGGGGAGGGCATTAGCCTTGCACTGGGCCAGTCAGGTTCGATCCCCAGCACTGTGTGAGGCCCTGAGCCCCGCCAAGAGTGCAGAGCCAGGAGTAACCCCTGAGCACTGTGGAGTGCAGCTCTAAAACTAAGAACAGTCCCCAGCATGTCGGGTTACTACAGTGATACCCCAAGACAGCACAGCGCCCAGCAGGACCACTGCCCAGAGCACATGGCCATGCCCCTCGCCCGTCACTGGTCTCTCTTCTGAGGGCAGTGCCTGGACCTTTCTGGGTCAGGGCCACGCCTTTTTACGGATGCAGGCAGTGAGTCTGAGGGAGGTGGGTGACCTCTCCCAGTCGTGGGGAGAGAGCCTGCGCCAGGTCAGCACTGGTTCCGGCCTGCCCCGTCTGTGCTGTCGGTGGGCAGGAGGCTGAGCTGCAGGCTGGGTCTGGGGGAGCACGGGGCCTTCACAGCTCCCGAGAGGCAGAAGCCGGCCCCTGGCTGCTGCAGCCGGGCCAGTCAGTGCAATCACTTCTCTTGCATATTTCTGAGCCAGTGGTCCTAGCAAAGTCAGACTGGCGTGCAGAGAATGCCGTCTCATCTGGCAGCCCTTCTCAGCTCTGCCGTGCAGGCACTGAGAGATGAGCGTTCTGGGCATCACAGAAACTCTCGCTGCACGATTTGCATATTTTAAGGGCAAACAATGTCTGTTAAAAACAAGATCCTTTGGTCACCTGTAAGGTTTTCTTTCTTTTACTCAGTGCTGGGGTCGAATTCAGAACTTCAGACATATGAAGCGTAGTCTCCACTGAGCTAGAGCCCTGGTCTCATACTGAGATTCTTTTCTTTGTTTAAAAGTTTTGGGGCCCCACTGGCTGTGCTCAGGGATTGTTCTTCATGGTGCTCGGAAGACCACTTACAGTGCCAGGACACAGTGCTGCGGCTGTATGGGATGCCGGGGCCTGAACCTGGGTTGGCTGCTTGCAAGGCAAATGCCCTCCCCGCTGCCCTGTCGCTCCCACCCTGCTGGGGACCATTTTTGTCTAGTTTCTAGGTGGGGAAACAAGAGCAGAGAGGTCGGTAGTTTCCTTCCAGACCCTGCAGCAAGTCCAAGAGTTTGAATCTGAATTTGGTCTTTTCTGACCCTGAGTCCATGCTCCTCACTAATCCTCTGCCTCCGGGGTGGCACGCATGGTCATTCGTCCTGGCAGGGCACTGGCTGGGAACCGTGATGGCCAGTCAGTCCACCTCGCTCTTCTGCGGTTCCTCAGGCCCCCTCGACCCTCCTCCTTGGCCTGCTGCGCAGCAAGGAGGGCGATTTCATTCTTAGTATTGACCTCATTTGGTGCGTGACTGTCAGCAGACACGGATGCTGGAGAGCCGCAGGCAGGCGCTGGATTTCTCCCGCCGTCTCTCTTAAGCAGATAGGACTCTTTGTGATGCCTCTCCTCTGCCTCCTGATTTTCACCCTCATGCCTGCTTCTCAGAAAATTTCAGATCCTAGGCAATCTGACCTGTCACTCTCTAGAACATTTGGGGAAGTTAGAGAGCGCAGCTGTCCCCCTGCTGACGCAAGTGTGGCCCACCGCCTGCCTCTCTGCCCGGGCACTGTGGAGGGCCCCTCTCATGGGGTTAGTCGGCCCTTACGTCTAATTTTTCTTTTTTCTTTTTGGGTCACACCCGGCGATGCACAGGGGTTACTCCTGGCTCAGCACTCAGGAATCACTCCTGGCAGTGCTCGGGGGACCGTATGGGATGCTGGGAATCGAACCCGGGTCACCCGCATGCAAGGCAAACGCCCTACCCGCTGTGCTGTTGCTCCGGCCCATGGCCCTTACATCTAAGAGAGCCGGGGCCCCACCGATGAGAGTAGCTGCACTGGCCTGAGTCTGCATCTTCGGCTGGAGCAGTTTTCCGATCCCAACTACTTCCTGTGTCTAATCGCTCTGTGCGCCTTCGCTCTTCTCCCCCTCCCTGATTTGTCTTGCCAGCCTGGAGTCATAGATAAGTTTACCAATGACACGAAGCCTATCATCAACAAAGTTGCTTCCGTGGCCGAAAATAAAGGACTGTTCGAAGAAGCGACCAAGCTATATGACCTTGCCAAGGTGAGGCAGCAGGTCCCTGTCCTCCCGCCCACCCCTGGCATCTCGGTGACGTCGCTGTGGCACTGCTCTGTCTGTTTCAGCAGTCAGTGGTCGGGTTAGGCGGAAATCCTGATCTTACAGAAGTATCTCTCCCCATAAGAAAGCGCTTCTGGCAAAGTCAGACTGGCGTGCAGAGAACACCGTCTCATCTGGCAGCACAGTGCACAGCTGTCTCGTTTCTGTGGCACAGCCACCAGGGCACATGCCGCGGTGTTTGGCGTGGGCAGCCGCAGGCACTGGTGGGCTGGCATAGGGAGCAGTACGACAGCGAGGATGGTGGGGAGACCCGGGACAGGGCTTCTATGTCAGGACATGAGTTCAGGGCCTGCCTGTCCTTTGATAACTAAAGAAGAGAGAGTTCCCAGGTGTTCTTTTTAATTCAACGATGTTTTGCCTGAGTTCTGAATGAGAGAGGAAAGGTGCAGATTCCTTACAGGCAACTTGGCAACGGTTCCATTGAAGTCTGTGTGACACCCCCCTCCCAGTTTCAGACCAGGGAACATTCCCGCCTGTCATTTTCCCAGAAGATGCCTCCCTTGACTTTGGTTATTTAGTGTTTCTTTTGATTGATCCATTTATTCCATTTCGTTCATTCTTTCTTTAACTTAAAAACATCAACTAGAATGCTGACAAGGTGCTAGAGCTGATGAACAAACTGCTCAGCCCCGTGGTCCCCCAGATCAGCGCGCCCCAGTCCAACAAGGAGAGGCTGAAGAACATGGCCCTCGCCATCGCAGAGAGGTGAGCCCCGGGCTCCAAGCACGCCCCTTGCCCGTCCCTCGGAGCCCCAGGTAGTGCCACAGGGCCCTGCCGACTCACTGCCCGCCAGCCCTGTTTGCAGATTCCCGTGCCCCACACCATGACCAGCACCTGGCACTGTCAGACTGAAACTGTTGTCCCAGGATGGTATGAAAGGGTACAAAAAGGGGCCTTTGCATGTAGCCCTGCACATCGGATTCAGTGGCGGGAACACAGCTGGTTCTGGCCGGATGCAGGGATTCTCAGACATAGGCCTCCGGTTTCAGTCTGCCCTCCTCCCCCCACTTCCCACCCCGTGGTCACTGATCACCCGACGAGAACCCCTGTAACTGGGGCAACACCTCTTACTGTTGGTGCCCATGGCAGAGACTCCTGGTAAAACAGCTGCGCCAGGCACTTTCCTGGAGCCACACAGAACATTCTTTAGCAAATAAGGTCTCTCCCTTGAGCCTGTGGTTCCTGGCAATGGCTGCTGAATGTTTTACACATACCCTGCTACACACACACACACACACACACACACACACACACTCTCTCCCTCCTTCCCCCTCTCTCTCTCTCTCTCATACACATACACACACGTGCACACTCTGTCTCTGATTCTATGTCTCTCTCTTACTCTCACACACACAGATACACACACCCTCTCCCTCCCTCCCTCTCTCTTTTTCTCTCTCCTACACACATACACACACATACACTCTGTCTCTGTCTCTCTCTCTCTCACACACACACACAACACGCACGCACGCATGCACCCTCTCCCTCCCTCTCTCTCTCTCCTATACACACACACACTCTCTCTCTCTCTATGTCTCTCTCTCTCTCTCTCTCTCTCTCTCACACACACACACACACACACACACACATGCACCCTCTTCTGATGTGGATCTGAGCTGGTGCTGGGACTAGAGGACCATGCTTAGAGGGGATTTGGGTCAGATCCATCCACTGTTTGGTCATTTTTCCAAAGAAACATTACTCCGCCTTTGTTCCCCTCCCCCTCACCCAGCGTCCCAGAGGATTTTAGGTATTTATTGTCATTCCAGAATTTCCCAGAATGTGTGCTGTTGCCCATTAGGTCGGGTGGTCAGCCACTGGAACAATGGTGGGGTGGGGCAGTGGTAGCCTCAGAACACCACCAGCTGGGGGGTGTTCACTTAAAAAAAATGTAGATTTCCTGGGCCAGAAAGATAGTAGAGATGATAAGATGCTTGCCTTGCACGTGGCCGACCCAGGTTCGATCCCCAGCATCCCATATGGTCCCCCAAGCACCACAAGAGGTCACCCCTGAGCACAGCCGGGTGTGGCCCCAGACAGCAGCAGATCTCCAGGTTCCTGTTTCTGCCTTCTGTGAGAAGGGGCCTCCTGGAGTCCCGCATGGGGACATGTGCTACTTCCCGTCCTGCTTCTCTCTGCCTTCCAGGTACAGGGCTCAGGGAATCAGTGCAAATAAGTTCGTGGACTCCACATTCTACCTTCTGCTGGACTTGATCACCTTCTTCGATGAGTATCACAGTGGTCACATCGACAGAGCCTTTGATGTAAGTGTCGGGGCCTATTCAGGAGTGCCCGCAAGATCGTGCAGGGCTTAATTAGTTAAGGCACTTGCCCTGCGCGTGGCTGACTCTGGTTAGATCCCTGGAACCACATAGGGTTCCTGAGGCACCACAAGGTGTGACCCTGGCGGGTATGAGGCAGGGGCAGGATGCCAAACACTTGATGAGGATTCATTTAATAAGACAAAGGAACTGTCATCAGTAAGAAAAGAAGGCCAGAAAGGCGGACGTGACCTGGGGCCTATTTCATTTCTGCTCTCAGCTGTCCTTGGTGCTGGGGGGTTGGAGATGTGCGGGGGGGGGGGTGCTGGCCTGCATCACGGGGGTCAGAGTGGGACCTCGCTGGAGTTACATCCCTGGCTCCTATGCTGTCTCTCGGGTGTCCCCCAGGATGGGAACCTCCTCAGTCAGTCGCGTGTTAGACAAGAACAGCGTCTGCTGATGAGCCCACTGGGAGCGTCGGGCGCCGAGTGTGAGAGGAGGAAGTGACTATGATGGTTGCGTCATCGGGGCTGGGGGGTTTGCTCCGAACAGATCATTGATCGCCTGAAGCTGGTGCCCCTGAACCAGGAGAGTGTGGAGGAGAGAGTGGCGGCCTTCCGGAACTTCAGCGATGAGGTGGGTGCTTCCCGCCTGTCTTCCACTGGGGGCTCTGGGTTCCCGCTGGCGAGTAACCATGGGACTCCGGCGGCACTCGGTGCATCCTCGGACCATCCGCTCCATCCCGGTCCGCGCCTCCCGGTCCAGCTCTGACCCACTGCAGTTGTTCCATGGTCCCACCGTGTTCTAGGGAGAGGCGGGTTTCCGGCTGAGCCCGGGGTCTTTCTCTCCTCTGTCATCCCTGTGTTCTGAGGGAGTATCAGTGCTGGGCTCACATCTGCGGGGGGTCCCACCACGGGGCAGGTGCATCAACTGTGGACTCGGAGGCCAACTGTCCCTGAACTGGGCTGCTGGAAAAGGCAAGTCTCCCGACCACAGACACTCCAGGGGGGCCGCTGGTGCCGCTCCGAAGGACAGTCGCTAGGGCCAGCCTGTCCCTCTGTTACAGGCAGGTTTGTCTGTAGAGGGAGCCATGTGGTCCTTCTCGCTGCAGCCCTCCCTGCCCCTCCCTGCGCCTCCTCACCCGCCGGGTGCCTGGTTGGTTGCAGTGGGGGCCGGAGAGCCGAGTGTGCCGCCCTGCCGGACTTCCCGGCCTGGGAGGGATGTCCAAGTGGGGCTCGGGGTGAGCACCTGACTTCCAGGCGCCGTCTCCTGGGCTCTGCTCTCGCATCTGCTCTCACCTCTATCCACTGGCTCTCCCGGTGACTCCTCCCCACCGCCCTCCAGCTGGCCTTGCTGGTGCTCGGTGCTGACCTTACTCCGTGTGTCCATCTCTGTGCAGATCAGACACAACCTCTCAGAGGTCCTGCTGGCCACCATGAACATCCTGTTCACGCAGTTCAAGAGGCTCAAGGGCACGAGCCCGTCATCGACGTCCAGGCCCCAGCGCGTCATGGAGGACCGCGACTCTGTAAGATCCCAGCGTGGGCGGACCAGATCGCCTGTCCATTTTGCCTCCCGCCACTGCCCCCGAGACCACGAATCGTGGGCCCCCCACTGCACCTTCCCTCGTGCTGGGCCGAGAGCTCTCGGGAGACACCAAACATCAATAGGTGGAATTAGGACTCTAAAAAAAAAAAAAAAAATGGAAGTCATGCCCAGTCCCCAGATGCCACCTTTCTGAGCCCGACTGCTTCCTCAGAGAGGCTCGGTGGATTTCCCTGCTCATCCTTCCGCAGGAGGGTCTCTGTGTGTGTCCGCTCAGCCTACTGCCGCAAAAATCCTCTTTTCCGGTCAGCATATGACCTGACACTGACCCTCTTCATGTCCTCACCTGAGCCTGGGACCCCAGGGAGGGAGTTCGGCCTGTCAGCCAAGCCCCGTCTCAGCTGAGGGACTGAGGCCACTTGTTTCTCCTGTGACGCCCCTCGGGCTGGAAGCAGCTGTCTGAGGCCAGGCTGCTGCGTGTCACACTACCCTTTTTCATTGGCACACAGGAGCCCTGAGTGTGGCATGTGGCACAGGGGGCCCCTTCCCCTGGTTGGCAGCAGCAGAGACTGCACCCAGCTGAACCCCTTAGGCCAGCGGTGGTGTTGAAACGGCCGTTTCCGCCTCAGCTTTGATGGGGCTCACTGGGGTGTATCAAACAGCCAGCCCTGGCTTTGGCCGTCAGAAACCAGCCCTCGAACATTCTGCCTGCACCTCCCGGCTGACTTCGGGATCTGGCTGCTGTCATTCACAGAAACATTGCCCAGGAGTGGGGTTCTGTCCATCTGCTGCCTGCCAGGGCCAGAGCCGCTAAGGGAAGTGAACCCCACATGGCCGTGGGGTCATGAGGCGACCGTGGGCCAGGTGGTCAGAAGGGGGCCTGTCCACAGAGGAGAGAGCTGGGCCCGCTCCTTTCCAGAGCTGGACAGATCTCGGAAGATCAGCTCACTTTCTCCCCCCTCTTTGACAGTTTTGGGCACTTGGGGTTTTGTTTTAGTTTGGGTGGGTGATAGTTTGGTTGGGTTTGGGTTTCGGGGCCACACCTGGCTGTGCTCAGGTTCCTGGCTCTGTGCGCACAAGTGACCATGGGTGGTGCTTGGGGCCATACGTGGTGCTGGGGTCACGGGTGGCAGAGCAAATTCTCTAAGACCTGGACTGTCCCTTGGGGTTCGTGGCTCTTGTTCCTTGCAGAGCATGAGTGGCCCTCCTGTCCACTCGTGCCCACCGCTCTCCTTTGCCTTGGTCTTCAGGAAAGGTAGAGATGAGAGGGACTGAGGGGAGACGGGTGTCCCGCTGCTTGCGGCCCAGGGAGGGTCTCAATTGTAACTTGGGTCAAACACCACCGCCCCCCCCCCCCCCCCAGCTCATTTACAGCAGCTTGAAAGAGGCACAGCAGGGGCTGGGGAGAAGGCGCAGAGGGCACGTGCTCCGGGTGTGGGAGGCCAGTGTCAGGTCCCGGCACCACGTCATCTTCCATGCACCAAGTCGGGGGTAGTCCCTGAGCACCGCTAGTGTGACCATTCCCCACCTGCCCCAAAACAAGGAAACTGGCAAGGCAGGAAGATGGCCAGGTGCTCTCGTCACAGACCTGGGCCAGTCTTCGGTTTGGACACTCGTGAAGGCGCATAACCTGCCAAGGGTAATGTCTTACTGCTATGCCGAAAGGTGTCTGTAGCCGCTCCCCTTCCTCCTGCCCGGCACATCTCCCCTATCTCAGTCCTTCCTCAGTAACTTTCCACTTGAAAACCAAGAGTGAGGGTGTCTCTGTGTCTGAGGAGGCCTTCCCCCTCCGCAGCAGAGCAGGAAGTCACGGGCTGGGCCGGGCGAGAGCAGGGGTCCGCTCAGGTACCCACAGACGCCGGCCAGGAGCCCAAGAGCAGAAACCAGCCGTCACCCTCCCTCCAGATCACGTGCCCTGATGCCAGGGGCGGGGAGGGGAAGGACCTGGGGTGCCCCCACGTCCTGACCCGTGAGGCGACTGACCGCTGTTCTTCTCTCCTGCCCTCCCACCCAGCAACTGCGCAGCCAAGCCCGAGCCCTGATCACCTTCGCCGGGATGATCCCCTATCGCACGTCGGGGGACACCAACGCCAGGCTCGTGCAGATGGAGGTCCTCATGAACTAGCGCCGTGCCGGGGGGCTGGGGGCCAGGCGCGAGGGCCCGCCGGGGCGGGTTCTGCTTTTGTTTCTGTTGTGTTCCGTTGCCTTTTGGTTTGGTTCTGTTTCTATTTTTAATTTTTTTTTTGTATTATGTATTTTTTTTTGTCAACACAAATAAATTTGTTTGATTTATTTGTATTTCTTTTCACGTTCTTTTTCTTTTCATTATGTTGTTGTTGTGTTCCCCCCCCCCCCTTGGAATTCTGTTTGAATTCGCCTTTGTGTGGGAGGCGGCCGCTGCGCCCCTTGCTCCCGGGCTTAGAGAGGCGTCTGAGGTTCCCAGCGTTCAGCCTGACTTTGGACAATTAAAGACTCACCCAGAATGAGCATGGCCCTGCTGCCGGTGGGAGTTGCTCTTGTTTAGGTTTGCTGTTCTCTTCGTGGCGGGGGCGAGGGCGAGGGTCCAGTGATTTTCTCCCCCCATTTTGATTCGGCCATGAAGGCCCATCCAGGCTGAAGGCAGGTTCAAGTTTGTGGGGGAAATCCTGCATCTTCCTTCTTCCCGACCGTGCCGGTGGGGTTGGGATTCATCCTCCAAATCATTTCTTCTGACTCCAGGACTAATTCGTTCTCTGTTCCTTTGAATTCCCACTGATGATGAATACACGGACTGAGGGAAAAAATAACCTTTTTGGGGAGATGAGGGGCCCACACCTGCAGTGCTCAAAGATGACTCCTGGTGGGGCCAGGGATCAAACTTGGGTTGGCGTGCCTGGCAAGTGCCCTCCCCGCTGTACTGTCATAGCTGAGGAAAAATAATATTATGAGCAAATAAGTGTCCCAGCTGGAGCTCTGCGAGGGACGGCCCTCCTGTTAGTCACCCTCCACGGCGTGGACAGCCCCTGCCCACGCGGGCAGCCGACAGCCCTGGCCAGCTGTGGACCACATTCTGGCATCCAACTTCAGTGTCCACACCCCACTGGGCAGCGTGCGTTGGGTATGTGACTTGGGGCCCTACACAGTGACTGACCCCCGTGGTCCACTCGGTTTCTGCTGCAGGAGAGGAGAGCGGGCCAGGGTGGCTGCAGGGGAGAGATCCCGAGTGGGCCTGAGGCTGACCACAGACTCCAGAGGTGCTTTTCGGCCCTCAGGAGAAGCCTCTCGTCAGAGGACAGGGGTTTGCATCCCGCAGGCCCGCAGGGTCTGTGTCCACCGCCCCGGCCCACCTAGTCTGCAGGAGCACTCCAGAGTCCTTGCGCCTGGGTTGGGCATGCTGGCAACTGGGTTTATGTTCAGTAACTCAAGGGATTTGCTCCTAACAATGTGAGTTAGGAACTCGGCATGACTCACCAAGAGTGACTGGCTGGTTCTGTGATTTGCTGCTTGCTGTTCGGGCCTCACGGTGCTGAGAGAGCGCTGGTCGTTGAGAGCTCGCGAGAGCTTGAGCGACACATGCTGGGCCGTCCCAGTCTCCCAGTCGCTGGAGATGTCGCTCTGGCCCAGAGTTAAAAGCTCTGTGTTTAGGGAACCTGTTTCTCCCCTTTCTTCCCATCTGACCCTTCCCAGTGAGGGGGGGGGGGGGAGGGAGTAGGGAGGGCATTTAGAGAGCTGAGGCCAAAGGAAGGCTTCCCTAACCTGGCCCCAGGCTCTCTCCTGCCCAGGGGTCTGATGAGCAGATCCTTTGTTTTGCCGGGCCAGATCCCTCCCTACTTTCTCTATCCAGCAACACCTGCCAGGATTCAGACTTCCCAGCTCCCGCGGGCACCCTGCTGGACAGGGGACGAGGGGCTGCTGGGGGCTGACCCAGGAACAGGGCGGCATAGTCTTCTCAGAAGAAACTGCTGGACCTTCACAGCTGCAGGAATGGTGGGGGGCAAGTGAGTAGAATTAAGCTTACCAAGTTCAGATCTTTTTTTTTTTTTTTGTATTAAGCTCAAGGAGGCTGGAGCAATAGCACAGTGAGTAGGGCGTTTGCCTTGCACATGGCCAACCTGGTCGACCCAAGTTCGATTCCTCTGCCCCTCTCGGAAAGCCCGGCAAGCTACCAAGAGTATTTCACCCACACTGCCGAAGCCTGGCAAGCTACCCGTGACGTATTTGATATTCCGAACACAGTAGCAACAAGTCTCACAGTGTTACTGGGCCTGCTCAAGCAAATCGATGAACAATGGAAGGACAGTGACAGTGACAAGAAGCTCAAGGCGGGAGGGTGCCCATGATGAGAACTGTAGGCCTCCTCAGAGCATCTATGGGAGACTGGGGGTGAATGAGTTTGCTTCGTTCTGTAGCTCCTGTTTGAGCTCAAAGTGGGGGGCAGTGGTCCCCAGGGAGGCAGTAGAGCAGGCAGGGTGCTGGCCTTGCACATGGCCAACTTGAGTTCAACCCCTGGCACCACACCTGGTTCCCCCAAGCACTGCCAACTGTGTCCAAAAAACAAAACAGACTTGGGGGCAGCCTGGACTGGACTAAACCTAGACCAAAGGCCCCTTCCTCAGGCCAGATTTTGCCAAGGAGAACTCTGAGAGCAGCTGAGTTTAATCTGATTGCCCTCATCAGCTGGCAGGGGCTGGCATGTGCGGCCGATAGACCTCAAGCTGCCAGCAGCTCTCCAGCAAAATTAGATGATTGCCCTGCTTGGCAGCGCTGCTTGTGCCCCTGTGGCAGGGGAGATGGCAGCGAGACAGCCGGTCACTAAGGAGAGGGCAGGGGCTGGCCTGCATCAGAACGGCAGGGTCGGCTGGCACTGCATTGGAAGGGCCAGGCGGGCCGGCCGGGTGGGACGTTGGCAGGTCCCCTGCTGCCCTTGTGTTCCGGGTATTTTTCCGTCAGGAATCCCCGACTCCGCGGGCCGTGTCCAGACGAGGGAGGCAGTTTGCAGCCTGGTCTCATCTGTCATTGTCACTGGAACCGCAGTGGGGCGTGTTCTTGGCTTCCCTGCGCTGGTCTGTGGTTTTCATTTCATCTTTGCCTCTCTGTGTGGTATCTGTGGTGAGAGAGCTGGCCTGGGCATTGGGCATGTTCTCTCTGGACAGTCACTAATGCTTTACTCTATGTAGGACAGTTCCTCCACAAACATCCCTGTCTTGTAGCCCGTCAGCTTCTCGACTGTCCCGGCAGAGTGCCCTGAGCCCCCTCTGTCCTCAGGGGAACAGGCGAGCTCTCTCCGAACTTCTGCCCAGGGCCCAGCCTTCCCCGTGGGGCCGCGGAAATGCCTCTCCCCCATCCAGGGGGGATGCCCTGGGTGTCCCCTCCTTGCTCCCTGCAGAGGGGGCTCAGGCCTGCCCAGCCCCCACAGGCTGCATGTCCAAGGACACCCTTCCCAGCACCCAGCCCCAGAATTCATATCCAACGTGCTCGAGGCAGGCTCCGGGGGGCTCAAAACCCGTTGAGGATCTGCTGGTTTATTTTTAAAACCCTCATGGAGGGCATTTTTAATGGAGTTGTCTTGGGGAAGGGGAGGCGGGATTGGGAGACTGCCCTGTTCGGTGGAGGTGGTCTCAGGGGGTCTTGAACAGGGTCTGCCCAGGAGGGGTGCTTTCAGGAGCTGAGCCGTGCAAGTCTGCTGGGGGAATAGGAGGAGTTCTCTTCCCACCCGGGGCTCCATGGCCTGCTGGCCTGTTTGTTTTCTCTCTAAAGGGGCCACACTGGGGACAGCAGCCCTGCCCTGGGGACACTGCTGGGTATATAGGGGAACCGGGACGTCCACCTCATGCCCCATGGCTGGGTCAGATGATCTCTTCTGCGGTACTGCCTGGAGCAAGGGCTGGTCAGCCTGGCCTAGGAGGGCTGTGTTTGTGGGAGGAGGCAGGCAGGTAGGGACCAGGCCCTGCAGACAGTGACCCTTTCTCTCAGCGATGGAATAAGGATTCTTTGAGTCTTCGGTTAAAACCAAACTTTCAAAGTCAAGAGAAGGAACCAGAGCGATAGCACAGTGGGTAGGGTGTTTGCCTTGCACACAGCCCACCCAGGTTCGATCCCCAGCATCCCATATGGTTCCCCAAGCACTGCCAGGAGTAATTCCTGAGCATAGGAGCCAGGAGGAACCCCTGAGCATTGCCAGGTGTGGATTGTAGCTAAATCCCCTGACAAGGTGGCCGGGGAGCCTCTGGCAGCAAATGGTTACAGAAACTTGGAAGTGACAGTGGTCATGAGGCCCTGGGCCTGGGAGAGCTTCCTGCTGGCACCAGAGGTCAGCTGGGAGTTCCTCCCGCCGCCACGATGCCCACCTGAGGCTCCCCCACTCCCTGGCTGAGCCCCACACCCTTTCTTGGCTCAGCCCTCCTGACTAGCCTAACAGAGTGACCTGTGTTCAGAGCTGGACCCTTGGAAAAGAGGCTTTTTTTTTTTTTTTTTTTTTTTTTTGCTTTTTGGGTCACACCTGGCGATGCACAGGGGTTACTCCTGGCTCTGCACTCAGGAATTACTCCTGGTTCAGGGAACCAACCATATGGGATGCTGGGAATTGAACCCCGGTTGGCCGCATGCAAGGCAAACGCCCTACCCACTGTGCTATCGCTCCAGCCCCATGGAAAAGAGTATTTTGATTCTTCGAATCAAGGTGTACAGCGGTGCCCTGCCAGGGGTTAGTAGGGGCAAAGACCCCCAAACGCTTGAAGTCCCAAAGGAGAGACCTTCATAAGGATGGGGTGGGGAGGAGTGTCTGGGAGCAGCCCCTGTTCTGGACACCTGCGAGATTACTGAACACAGGAAGCTGACGGCCGCCCCCAAGGCTGGGCCGCTTGGGAGATCGTTGCTGGAGCTGCCTGAGAGCCGGCCCGATGCCTCCTCGACTTCCGGTGAGTGAGGGGAGGCAGCCTGGGGCTGCCGGAACCCGATGGCTCAGGTCTGAGCTGGAATGGCACCTGAGTGGTCATGCCGGTGGCCCTGCACAGTGCTGGTCAGCGCTCCTGTTGGCAGCTGCGGGGAGGCCAGTGCCATGTCCTCAGCCACAGGGCACTGCCCTCACGGGCGTCACCATGCCCCGGGCCTGGGTTTGGGTTTCTCTTGGTGTCTTTGTTGTTTGCCACGGACCAGACGTGGTCCAACTGGGTGCGC